CTGATACAAAGGTTATTCCATGTCTGCCTTTTAGTCTACAAGGGGTACAAACTGATGTGGAAGAATAGTAAGAATTAAAACAAAGTTAAAGAGGACAAAACTATTCTAAGAGAAGCAAAAGGCATTGCTGAGACTTTTCTTTGTGCAGCCAAAAAACATATGTTTCCTGAACCTAAATGAACCCCAACATTTTAAACCTGTGTGTACAGAATATGAGATGCTGCATTTGAAGTGCCTGTGTACCAGTTATTCACATATTTCCACTCTGATACACACAGTTAGCTAACACCTTTGCTCAGGAAAACTGAAAGCAATTATAAGTAACATCAATTCACAACCTTAATTGAAGGTAAAAAAAATATTTTAGATTTAAAAAGTTCAATTTAAAATGTAGTCTGATCAGAAAACCCGATTTTATTTTCTTTTTAAGCATACCAGGTCTAAAGTCTGACAAATTTCCCACTTTAACTGAAAGATGCAGGGAGGGGAATGAGGTATTCATTTTAGAAGATATTTTAAGTGCAGATCAATTATAGCTAAGCATTTCTTCCTTAAAAGCATATCCACAGAGATTATAAGGGATTTGATACATTAGTACCTCCTTGGGCCAAGAATGATGCTTGTAGTGTGAATCACCACATTAAGAACTGGTGTAAAATATGTAAGTTCTTCAGAAAGTGTTAGGATACTTAAATTCTATAGAAAAGAGCCCAAGAACAAGTGAAACAGAGTAAAAGTCTAGCTGGCAGAAAGATTGATTTATTGACCAAACACATAAAAAGTTAGTCAACCGATTTCCTTACAAGCACCACTTTTTTTTTTTTAATTGTCAATAGTTTAAAAGCAGTTTTCTAAAAAATGGTCACTTTAAAGGACATTAAGATCTGTGATGCAAACACATGTTCTAAAATTTTAGACAGCATGACAGGAAGCATCCCAACAAGTTCATTCCCAAACTGACTAGGGCTTAGCTCCTAATCGCAATTAAGATAACTGAAATGGGGCAAATCCTTAAACTGATTATAAGATTAAGGAATACGGTTAAAGATACTACCAACTGCATGTCTGATACCTGCAAATTCCTTTCTATCACTGTAGGAAGGTCCCCATAGAACAGCCACCATTAAAGTACATACCAGCAAATTGAGAGTCATGGTTAACATAAAACCCTGGACTCTTGATTGACTCCATAGTCTTGACACCTATCAGTAGAATCTGGGTAAAAACATCTGATTAGACAGCAGACTTGAGTTATCAAAATTGACACACTATATCCTAAGCACCAGAGGTCTGCTCTTTAGCTCTGGTTCTAAGATGACAGATATGTAAACTAGATGAAAAGAAGTAAGTTAACTAGAACATGCAGAGCTATTTTCCCTTGTGGCAGCAGCATCCACAAGGCTCTCCTTTATCTAGGTATGTAGGTTTGATGGGCCAACACTTCAGAAGCTCACAAATCAGTAATAAACTAAACAGAGTATCATGAACTTGCACAGATTCTTGCATTATTCTTTTAATCTATTCACCTCCTTATGCTCAAGCGAGCTTTCTGCCAAGAGCCATGCAGCAGAAAAATGAAGAATGACTATTAAGAGCTATCTCCACCCCCACACCTCCCTTCCCTTCCAAATCCAAATGTCAGAGTTCATACTAGGAACAAATTCGATTTATTTGTTCCTCTCTGACAACAGAATGCCAAGGAAAAAAAATACACTAAAGAACTTTTATTACTTGCTACAAAGAAAAGAAATCCTTTACTTCAGTGTGAAAGTACAAATTACAATTTGGTAGTAGTTAAGGGCATCTCTAGGCATATCTAAGGCAGGTACATCATAAAAAAGTTGGTTGGATTTGGCATGCACTTTGCTGAGGTACTTTTTATAATCAGAACTGAAAGATCATCCACTTCTGTCAAGAGGCTACCAAATTACATTGATTGGTTTTATGTCAAGAAATGTTACGGTTTTCTTTCTTATGATGCAATAATAACACTGACAGCACTGGTGAGATACACTGAACCATTAGATACGATCAAGTAGGGAAACAATAAGCGAGCAGGCCTAGCACAACCACTAGTTTAAAATGTATTTAAACCCCTGCCCACCTATAAGGGCACACTAATCGTGTTTTACACGTCGTTAATTTGCAGGCTGAAGTCAGCGCTGCAGGGCTTAACCACCGCCTAAGAGGACCTCAGTCTTATAAAAAGTTGTTGAAGAGAAAATTGCTATCAAAGCTATTTACAGTCTTCTGCTCACACACAGGAGTGGCACTCACGAATTCCACCCTTGTGGAAAGGCTCCACCGCCTCTCTGACAGCCGGTGAGGCACAGAAAGGCGCACGGAGCGAGAGATGACAAGTGTGAGGCAGGGCTGGGCGGGCGCTCCTTGGCATGAGCCGCTCTCCCAGCACAGAGAGACATTCACGCACCCTCGGCTGAGTAAACAAAACACCAGTGCGGAGCTGAGCAGGGCGGTGACTCAGTCAGGAGTGCGAGATTCGGTCCCACAGGGTAAGGAATTCAGGGAGACGGGACCGGGGGCCCATTGGCGCTCCCTACTCACCAGTAAACAGTCCACGTTCACTTCGGATTTGGGGTCCTTCAAAGTCACGTCGATTTTTTCAAAGCGAGACTCAAAACTTTCTCCCGTCGACATGTTTCCGGAGATAAAAAGTTTCCCTTATTCCAGAGCAAAGTAAGGTTAAAAAAAATAATGGAAATGTGTAAAAAAAAAACAGGAACAGGCGAGCACAAAAGAGAAACCACACAGCCTGTACCCGGCTGAGGAAGCGCCTCCTGGGAGATCCCTTCAATCACGGCAGTCTCTGGGGCAAGTCCCCGCCAAGGGGGCAGAAAACCCAAGGGGAGTTCGCGGCAGGGCGGGGGAGACGAGGCTGCTTCTCCCCCCGCTTCTCCAGGCACGCACGCAGCTTCCAGGGATGCTCACAGCTCCGCCGCAGCAGGTTTCCTCTCCCTCCCTCCTCTGCTCGGGCCCCACCGTCTCAGCATTCCCATTTTCCCAGTCGGGAAAGCCGCCCTGGGATCCAGCGTAGCGGTCCCTCCTCCTCGCCCTGCTGCTGCAGCGCCGGCGGGTCGGTGCCAGGTTCCGGAGCGTGGCTTTCTTTCCGGTGAACCAGAAGAAACAACACAAAAGAAAAAAAAAAAAAAAAAAGGAAAAAAGACAAAATCCTAAAATCCTGCAGGCACACCAACAAGGCAGAGCGGATGAAAAAAAAAATCAAACTTAAGAGAATCCTCTCGGCGGCGTGTCTCAGTGCCGTGGGGTCGGTCCGTCCGTGGGCACGGGGCGAGGAAACGAGGAAGGCACAGGGCGAGTGCCCCCGCGGATGGCGGACGAGTCACCTCACCGGCGGAGCGGCGGCGGCGGCAGCAGCATCTTTCTTCCTCTCTCCTCCTCCTCCTCCTCCTCGCTGCCTCCCGCTGCTGCCAACGCCGGCTCCGCTCCCCGCTCCGCCTCACGCACGGGACGACAGCCTGGACTGCTGCAGGACCGACCCGAGGTTTGCGGCGTGCGAGGGGAGGAGGGAAGGAGGCGGCTTAAGGGGAGGGCAGAGCGTGAGGTCCGGCGGCTGCGAGGAAACCTGCGAGAGGCACCAACATGTCCGCCTTCCGTTTGAACAGTCGGCACGGCGGCCGGGGCGCATGCGCGGGGGAACGGCTCCGGTGCGGGCGGGGACGGCACGGGACGGCGGTGGGAGGTGCGCGCGCGCGCGCGAGGCGGTTGGAGTGGGCGCACACCCGGGAAGGAATCACAGAATCAGTCACAGAATTGATTAGGATGGGAAAGACCTCTCAGATCACCGAGTCCAACCTTTGACCGAACACCACCATGTCAACAAGACCACGGCACTAAGTGCCACGTCCAGTCTTTTCTTAAACACCTCCAGGGACGGTGACTCCTCCATCTCCCCGGGCGGCCCATTCCAGTGTGTAATCACCCTTTCTGTGAAGAAATTCCTCCTAATGTCCAATCTAAACCTCCTCTGGCGCAGCTTAAGACTATGTCCTCTCTTTCTCTCACTTGTAACCGGGGAGAAGAGCCCGACCACCACCAGGCTACAACCTCCTTTCAGGTACTTGTAGAGAGGGATAAAGTCACCTCTAAATCTCTTTTTCTCCAGGCTAAACAACGCCAGCTTCCTCAACCGCTTCTCGTAAGAACTGTACTCCAGACTGGTTGCCCTGCTGAAGGGAAGAGCGGGAGGGGCGGCCCCTGCACGAGCAGGGCGGGCGTGACAACCCGGGTTCGCTCCTTCCGGGAGCCGCTGGTTTTGAGTGCCCGCCCTCATCCGTCCCCGCCGGTTCCGGCGGGGCTTGAGCGCAGCCGGGGGCTCTGTCCCACTGGGAAAAGTGTCTTTTCCCGCCAGGTCCTCGTGCCGTGGAGCGATGTTGCCGCCTTGTTTCCGCCCCGACTCCCTGGAGGCGCCTCAGAGCTCGTGGCTCCCGCCACCTGCACAGCACGGGCACGGGGGGTGGCAGGTGCCAGTGAAGGTCGCTCAGAGAGCTGCTGTAGTCTCCATCCTTGCGGATCTTCAAAAGCCGTCTGGACACTGCCCTAGGCAGCCGGCTGTAAGTGGTCCTCAGGTGGTCCCTCACTGGAGATATTCAAGGACCGCTTGGATGCAACCCTGTGCCATGTGCTCTAGGACAACCCTGCTTGAGCAGGGAAGTTGGACCAGGTGATCCATTGTGGTCCGTTCCAACCTGACCCATTCTGTGAGTCTGTCCTGTTTGATCAGAGGGACTGGAGAAGTTGACCTTCAGAGATCTGTTCCAACCACAGGCACTCTGTGATCCTGGGAAGGAGTGACCACCTTCCACAACACCAGAAGTTCAAAGCATTCCAGTTTGTGTCCTGACAAGAACCATGTGCAAGGTAGCACACCAAACACAGGAAGAATAGATGCCAGCATTAAACTAAACATGTAATGCATGCAGCGTGTCTTGGTGTTTCCAGTTCAAACCTTACTGTCAGACTTGCAGCAGGGATCTTTTGTTCAAATAGGGAAACAGAATCACAGAATCAATTAGGTTGGAAAATACTTCTAAGATCAAGTCCAACCATTGCCCAAACCATGTCAACCAAACCACGGCACAAAGTACCAGGCCAGTCTTTTAAACACCTCCAGAGAGGATGACTCCACCACCTCCCTGGACAGTGCATTCCAATGTTTAACCCTTTCTGTTAAGAAATTCCTCCTAATGTCCAACCTGAACCTCCCTTGGGACAGCTTGAGACTCCAGCAAAATAGTGATTTCAAGTAATGTTGAACAGGGGCCACTGTACTGGTTCGGTTCTTTGACTTCCACTGAAGTTCCATAAATAGCAATGGCATTTTTACAAAAATCACTAAAAATTGTGTAGAGAATGTCAAGTCATTAATCTCTGGTCACTGAAAAGTTGCCCATAGCAAACCTGAATCATTAGCACTGTGAGTTATTTTCAATGTCATGACTGAGAAACAAATATATAACCAAGTGTTAGAGCATATGAGCTAATGTCACTACTTGCTGTTTTGTTTTATTCAGGAAAAAAAAAAAGAAATGGCATTCTACATTTTGCTTTTTCTTGTCCACAGCTGCCTGCATCTTTGTTTTTGTTTTCTACTGAGAAGCATGTATGTTTAAAGCAAAAATACAGGCTACAACAACATTTCACTCTCTCTCGTTTTGTGCTGGCTATTACCACAGCCCTTTGATTCAGAGGGTTTGGTTGCTCTTGGAAATGCAGATGTTCCATTTCAGCAACCACAATCCAAAAAGAACATCTCATGTATTCCACAAGCTACAGGGTGTAGGCTTGGGATTGTTTCATATGTGATGCAGCAAGTAATTTCTAAAATACAAAGAAAATGCTTCTTGCAGTCTTCATATTAAGCAAGATGAAAATCATCATTAGAGATACAGAGCCTAATACACAGTGCTCTTGAACAACCGGTTTAGGCATTAAAACACACACAGCGATGATGCCAGGCCTCACCAGGGTGATTTGAGGCACCCAGCTGGAAAGAATACAAAATTCATGAGACTGTAATAGAGTACCGAAAAGGAAGCCTGAATCTGCAGCTCAGTAGGCAGATCACCCCTGTGATCAGCAGATGCTGTTTATGTGTTTTATCCAATATCTATGGGAAAACTTATAGGTACTCTTGGAAATGCAAAACTTCTTCCATCCTCTCCAGGTGTCCCTGCAAACAAAGCTACATGGGTCTTACTCCCATTTGCCCTTTGCATCTTTGCATTTCTTTTCTTACAGTGGCCCAGATACAACAGAGTAGGTGGAGAGAAGCACCATCCCATTGGCTTGACAACTTGGAAAACTCCCAGAGATACAAGAACTGGCCATTGGACAGGCCCAGCCTCACATGTTTCTTTTCTTGTAAAGGATCTTGCCTCTATACCAATACACCTGAGAACCTCTACCAGTGTTCATGGTGAGTGAATTTGTTGTGTTTGTGTTCAGCTGCGTGCAAAGTCCTTGTTATTCAAACATATCTGTCAGACTGGGCTTTTCTCATGACTGTGGTGGACTACAAGTGCTTATCTGTCTGTCTCAAATAGAATAGAATTTGTGTGGGAGGTACTTCACCCAGCTGTCTAGGAAACTCTGAGCACTGCTTTGAAACCATAAAAGGGAGTCTTTGGCTACAAAGAGCCAAAAGAAAAATTGATTCTAATTTTTAAAAGCAGGTATGGGTTAAGTGTCTGGTGTGATAAAGTGCTCATGTCATAGCTCAAGAGTGTAATGTAATAGTTTTTAATCCAGAGAACACTCATTCACGTGCTTGGATCTTGAAGCCCATTTTCATGAACTTCAGTCAGACCATTTGTATCTATAGGATTAGAAACTTGCATATTTCTAGCATTGGCCACTTAGAAATCATAGGAAGTTCAATCCTACATAACCAACCAGTGCATTGAACATGATAGTTTTGTTTTGTTTTGTTTCATTTCCCTGATAAAAACAAAGTAAACTGAAAATCGGTAATTTCTTCTTCTTGCATTTGTTGTGTCACATATTTTGGAATCGAGCTAGGTATTGTTGAGTGAAATAGAAATTACTCAACATATGCATGACCTGATAACATTGAGCTGATAAAGCATGCAAGCCTGAAAGATCATTTTTTCTCGCTTCAAAAGCATATAGTCTTTAAGTCTTGAAAGTGTCTCTACGTAAGGTGATGTCTATGCATAGTAAACAAGCAAACTGATAATTCTTAATAAAACCAAAATCATAGTCCAGAGATCCATGTTGTCATGTGTATTTCAAAAGATATTTAAATGTTCTTGCTCTTCATGTGATACAAACTGACACTGACTTAAGAGCTGATTGTTTGGAAGAGATTGTATTATTAACTACAGAAAATCAGTTAACTGTAGAACTATACATTGGCTTCTTCTAAAACATACGTAATAACGTACTTATAAAAAGTACATGTAATACTTTTTATTGTGTAAATAACATTCTTGTACATTAGAGTACTGAGACTGTGCATTGTAAGAGGTTTCAGTAGTGCCCATTTCAGGAAATGAGCAAACAGCAAGAACACAAGAGCAGTGGAATACTCAAAAAGTATTGGCTCGGCTCTCTCCAAGCAGGTACTGTTACTCCCATCCTCTTGTGAAAAAGCTAAGAAAAAATAAGCAAAAGAGATTGTAATAAAGTCAAAGGCCATCTAGATTTTTTAGGTCACTGAGTGTGCATCTTTAAAAGGCATACACTCTCAGAAAGAGAGAAAAGGCTAGGAAACCAGAGTTCCTGAAGTAACTACTGACTTCAGAAGAGTTGCACAAGAGAGAAATGAGACTATATCCTGTTCACCATATTAGGCCAAGTTAGTAATGCATGAGCTCCCCTCACATTCAACTTCCGATTTAGTCATCATGAAACCTACAGGAGTTAAATCACATTAGGTTAAGCCTGCCTTTGGTTCACCACCCTCTCTCCTTCTTTGCCATACACAACTGGCTCAGTTTAGCCTCAGCTCTAGTCCTCCAGACAGTTAATAGCACAGGCCAGTGCAGCTCAAAGCTCTGAGATTAAAACTGTGGTCAACAAATCCAGTCCGTGGGCAAAATATTTTACCATTGCTAAAGCTCATCCATGCAATAGGCCATTTGCAGGAGTTCCCTGCTTAAGGCAAGGTGTAATGGATGCTAAATCAGACATATCTGAACCAACTCGAGGTGATGATAAAGTCACACTAGAATTGATCTCAGTGTGCTTGCAAAATCTGAAAAAAAGCTGCATTAGGTGATGAGTGCTGGTGGCTGTAAGCAGCTGATTTAAAGCTTCAGTCACAGTGACTACTGCAGTGCAGCCCCCTCACCTCCCTTGGAGGCTCAACTCTGTGCTGAAAAGGCTCCTCAAGAAATTCCAGACGGTAAGCTTGAGGTGCAAGGTGCTCTGAGTAGTGAACACATTAAAATGCTCTACTAATAGGAGAGAGAAAGCAAAGAAATGTGAGAGATATAAGTCATATAATTTACCATGCTGAGAAAAGGCATCTTGGTACTTGATGAGACAAAACAGAAATAGAATAGAAATTACCTAGGCAATAAGAATTGCTAGCACAAAAAGACAATTTGGTGTATAATAGATCAAAAGAGAATGTCATATGGATAGACTCAACAAAAGTAGTATCTTTCAAATATCTGTTGCCGAACATATATTTGATGTTGAAACAGTGCAACATATACATATATAAATATGTTTTTCCTGCATGTCACTAGCTTTAATAAAGATGTGAGGCCTTAGGCATATGGCTTTGTCTATTGCAATGTATCTCAGCTCCCCAACAAAGGGCATTTGATGCTGTTCCCTATGACAGAGCATTTTTAGGCACTGTAGTACTTCTTTTTGCTTACAGCGCGGGAAACTTCAGGAAAAACTGCTCCTGCTGCCTGTGAGTGGTGAGTGATGAGTAAGAAATGGAGCACCTGAATCTTTGTTGTATTTTCTTGAACAGTCTAGACATAGGAAAAAAGAATCACCTTTTAGAACTTCTGCAATGGCTCAGTTTGATGGAGAGGATCTGGTCTGAAAACAAACTCTTGCAAGGCAGGAAGTAAATGAGATGACATTGTTCTAGCGCACACACAGATGCATTTGCTGCCAGCAGACAAGGGCACAGTTGTATAAACAGCATAGGCAGTCCCAAAGTAACTTCTGCTGTATCTGGAAAGGAGGGGACTGTGACCCCAGTGACAGATAGCAATCCACATATCTGGTCACCATATGTCTCAGGCCAACATCAACCTCAAGTGCATATACAGCACAGGCTCCCTCTGCTTTTATGCTTTAAAAGTGCAGAAAAAATCCTGTAACCAACGTATGGCCAAAGCTCACAAAGTAATTTGAAATCAAAACATAACAAAATTCCACTGAAATGCTGAAAGCTTCATACCTCAGTAAGGACCATTTCCGTGGCAAATACTATTTTCCCATTAAAGCCACTTGGTGGGTACAGAAAATGTCAAGATGCCAGAAATTCTTCTTTTATCCTGGGAAAAAGCTTTTTATTTTCCCTATCCCAGAGCTTAAAAATGGCCCAAGTGCTTCTTGTTTGAAATCTTCAAAAAGCCAAACAAACTCAACTCGAAGTCAAAGAAAAACCATAGGAAAAAAAATAGCCTGAAAAAAATTAAGGTTTCAGAAAGGTAGGAGTATATTAAAGCAGGAGCTAAAAATCATCTCCTGATGGTCTCATCTATCAGGATATAAACATAAATAATGTATATTTTATGTCTATATATTTCCATTATATAAATGGAAATATAAATAAATATATATGTCAATTAAAAGTAGAGTGATTTCCATGATTTTAGATCTCTTTACAGATTAACCTATCATGAATCTGTCTTTCTACACTGCTATTGGCTTGTTAGCTATGAATCACCTATGAGATTAAGAAGTTTTCTTCTTATTTCACCAGTTCATAACCCTAAGTGCTCTCTCCTAGAACAAATTTCTGCCACCCCACCTTACTCCTACTTCCCTGACTTACACATATCACATTTCCTGTGATTGGATTAGTTTTACAGTCCTTGCTCAAATAGTTCTTCTGAAGACAAAAGTTAAAGGTAAACTGGGCTGAGTTTAAAAGTAAACTAGCTTTAATTCTCCTGGCTTTTGTTTTATGTATGCTGTCCTAAATATCTACACTCCCTGTAAATGCTTTGCTCTGCTGAAGAGTAAGACAAATCCATAAAAAGCTGTGGTTTTTATCTTGGGCCTGGGAAATATTTAACAGTTTCAGGCTTTAACAGATAATTAACTTCTCATAACTTTGCTGGTATAAACAGAGAGGGCTTCATATGATCCTTTTCTGGGCAGAACAGCAGAAGTTGCTGTTCTTGACACAGTGTAAAGTTTTGCAACACCAGTTATGTGCAGCTACTTTTATACCATGAAGCTTCATGTTATTCTACATGGCTTGTCTTAAATTTAAGGCATTCAAATGCTACTAAATATGCAGTTTCTAAATACTCGTGTTTCATATGACTATCTTCCAGATATTAAAAAATAAATTTAAAAGTTTAGTTACTGAAAAAGAATTCAAATTCATTGCAATTGCAGGAATTATAAATTAGTCAACTTAATTATTTTTTGTGAATTTTAGTAACTAAATCACAGATACCGAATTACTGATTTTGTTCACACTTGGGACATTTTCAAATTCTTCTATTAATCTCATGCCACTAGGCAATGGGTTAACTGTTATTTTATACTAACACTACTACTGTTGTTTTGTTTGTAGAGCTCTACTACTCTAAGAACACATCTGTAAGGTTTAAGATAGTCTAACTTTAGAGAACAGAGAGAATTTATATTTGATTTTTGTTATAATTCTGTTTTCATTTGACCATGACAACCCAAAACCCAGAAATGAAAGTTTTATAGGTGTGATCATAGACAGAAAACTGCATGTATGAAAATGTGAGAAAGCTCTTTCTCAGGTCTAGAGTCAAGTCCTCTTATTCTTATCTCCCTCCCCTCTTGAAGATAAAAGACACCAAACTTCCTACTTCCTGTGGTAAAATGCTCTGCAAGTCTGTTGGGTAATTCAACTCTTGATACTCGGAAGGTGGCAATTTTATATCAGTTTTACCCCATTATTGTACTTCATTATTATTGTTGTTAATAGTAGTAGTAGTAGTAGTACTAATATTATTATTACTATTAATTATAATTATTGTTACTTCAGGTAACTGCCTTAAACTGTTTTGAGGTGGAGAAGGGAGATGGGACAAGAGCAAACGCCCTCAAGTTGCAGCAGGGAAGATTTAGATTTGGTTATTGGGAAAGGGTTCTTCACCAAAATGGTTGTCCAGCATTGGAACAGGCTGCCCAGGGATGTGTTTGAGTCACCAGCCTTGGAGGTATTTAAAAGCCATTCAGGTGTGGCACTTAGGGACATGATTTAGTGGTGGACTTTGCAGTGCTGGGTTAACAGTTGGATTCGTTGATCTTAAAAGTCTTTTCCAACTGAAACCATTCCATGATTCTATAGACTCCTAGTTTGATGGAAGCAAAAATAATCTGACAAAGAGACAAACTAAAGGCCAGGAACAGGCCATTTCAAAACTTTGCTAGGTGCAAAGTAATACCTTCTCAATGGCGAGTTTTCAGACAGAAGGAAAAAAAGAGGCAACTCAGTCTCCTTCTTCCACAGAGTCAAATATAGCCCATCCACCAGGACTAAAGAATGTCAGCATTGTCCAAAGCTGCCTCTGTGACATAAGAATAGATGAGGCTGCTCTGTAAAGCACTGAATTAAAAAAAGTACAAGGTGATTGACTCATTGTGGCCCGTAGCCATATGGATGTGTACAAAATTGCTTCCAGCCAATGTTCTAGAGCCTTTACCATAGAAACAAAAGGTAGCATGGCAAACAAAGCTGTCCCTCAAGAGTCTCATACAATGAAAAAACATAGCTGTGAAAATGTATATGCAAAGCAGTATTTGTAAAGAGTTACATCATCGCACCTTTGCAATCACTCCTCTTTGTGTGCCAAATTTTGGTGAAACTATGGAATAACTCAGAACTAGAGTAAGTGCTTTTAAACAAATTATTGAAATTACAAGTACTATGTCCAAATTATTATGGAGTTTGAGTTTGTTTTAATGAAAATGTCTCTTGCTTACCTAATTTTATGTGCGTCCCAGCACTCCTCTGAGGTGGCCATGCCATCATTTTATATTCCTATGAAGGTAGCAACGATATACTGCCTGCACTGTAAAAT